TTCATCGGGGTCCCATTCCGTCGTCTGTTCGTCGTTTTGTCATGCTGCGAACGCTGCTGGTGATATCATCAGGTGATAACAAAGCGACAAATACGAAGATAACGGAAATTTTTGTTCAGAGAACAACAGTTGAGGCATTTATGTGCAAATGGCTCCGGAGCCGACTCGCTGTTTTGCTCGGCTCCGATGTTGCTCGTCGATCTGCTCTGATCGTATGGCGACCGCCTGATCTTTTTTGTCGGGCGTCAGGAATGACACCGTTACCGTCACCGTCGCGAACAACCAGCAGTAGCTGCCATTCGTCTTTGCAGCAAGAGCAGCAAATGGTATTATAGTTTTCGTACCGACATGACGCGTTTCGTTAATTCACTTGTCCACTTTGTTGTTTGTTGTTGGTGTTTCCGCTGCTGCTGCTGCTGCTGCTGTTGTTTCTGCTGTTGCTATTACCATTGCTATTGTTGCTGCTGCTGCTGCAGCTGCTGCCTGCCGTTTTGATTGACGACTAACTGAAGGCTTTCATTTCCGTTTGCCATAGTTAGACATAGAGACGTAGCGACCGATAAACCAGAAGCCGACAGTCTTCGTAGAACGTAAACACGTGAATAGAAATAGAAGAACGAGAAAAAAAAAGGAAAGGTGCCACAGTTGCACTACCCGTAAGAGCGCGTCCAGGCAGAATGCCACTAGTGGTGGACAATGGGTCAGCAGTTAATATAGTCGTCGTTTTTGTTCTCTTGTTTAAATTCGACTGATTACAAATAGAGCAACATCCATCGCAAGCAGTCTTCAGCCGAATAAAAGAACTTCAACGCTTAAGTTACGTAGCTCGTCGCCTGTATGATTATTATTGCTCGATCCGGCTGGCTGTCTGGCAGTCGAAGGCTGATATGGGTATGCTATAACGAAAAAGGGCTGTGAAAATTCCTTTCGAGATGTGGGTAAGTCGAATAAATAGCATCATCATATCGACTTAACTGATTATCCCACTGCTGGGCAATGGGCTTCTACAGAGACGCTTCCATTCTTAATATAGTGAAAAAGTTGATCATCAAATCATCGTAAACATGATAGATGTAGATATATAGATCATCTAATAAGAAGTTAATTATCCGGGCGGCCACTTCCGACCACGAAATGTGCAGCGATCGAGCAGACGGAAAAATGTAATGCCCAATGTCTGGGTTAAATCAGACGATGAAAGTAAAACGAATGATCTGAACCGATCGACTGCCTTGTACAGACGGCAGATCGTAAATTCAATCGATATTCTTTTCAAAGTCAGCACTTTGACGTATCATACGAAGAAGGGCGGATCTTTTAAGCCCGCGGATATTTAAAAATCGCAAAGAGCCATCCTTAAATGAACCTACATGGAATCTAAAGGAATCATCAAGGGGCTAGTAATATAGCAATGGAGCACTGGACTACGTATCCAATCTCGTCTATATATATATATATATATATATATATATATATACATACATACATTAACATAATCGAGCACAAGGGCTGCTGGCTAAATAGCCTGGGCTGCCAACTTCATGAAAGCATGGAGTAGTATATTGTAATACGACAGGAAAGCGAATAACTCGTGATACGTTAGTCGAGACAATGGTGATGTCAGCAGACTTCATCCCAGCATCACTTACTCCATCCTATGCTGCGTTCTGTTTATAATAGCGGACATTTTCCTATCTAATAATCTGCTTATTATCCACGTCTATTAGTGGCCATTTGCAAATAAGACGGCATAAAATCATACCAAATTAATACATACTGTTTTAAGTGCAGTCGTTCAAAAAAAACTATTATATAACAGAACAGAATATTCTAGTTGACCGACCATTATTTTACATATAAATACTAATATATGCAGTGGCCTAAACACAAAGCTTCTCATCGATCTGAGATTCATCCTGTCATGCAAATAGCCCAAAAAATGAAAATAGTTTTTTCTTCGCAGATCGTATTGCGCGAACGATGCATTCAGTCTAAAAGTACCATGATACCAAATGTGTGCAGCTGTAGACATTATTCTACTTACGCTATTGTGCATCGAAGGACTCAAAAGCTATGCCATACGTACTGACCAGTCAATCGCCGAGATAGCGGTAAAGCTCAGAAAACGAAGAGCTTGCCTATAAAGTACCGATACCAATTTCACTTGTAACAAGTCTACTGTTAATTCCAAAGCGCTTGGTTGAAAATGGCACGTCAAAACCGCCATCGTCTAATGGCAACGAATCTGCCTACGAACTTTAGGAACACATGCGAAGCGCGATACATTAGTTCCTGAGCGTAAACGCAATGCTTGTAGAGTATATTCGTCTGTGGCACTAGTCAACGGTGGTCCTGGTCATAAAGCACTTCATTTCAGTCAACTCTCTTTGCAGAGCTCGAGTAGTTGTTCCTTTTTGGAACAGAAGTAAGCAAGGACATTGATTGATATCATAACGGGTCCTGAAATTTGCGATCGTTCACAATAATACGCTCAAGACACCGACGAGAGGAAAGTGTCGCATATTTTCGAAGCTATAGGAAATTTCCAGCGGATGAAACCTAGTTAGTTGCAAGCATTTTCGTCGACAGAAAATCTTGAAAGCCAAAGAGCTTTGTAAATAGAACTCTTTATTTGTGCATGTAACGACATGCAAAAAATTGCTAGGTCATGCAATCAAACCCTCCTCCTAAGCTAACCGAATGATTTCCAGTTCTCATGCTCAAGTGGCCGTGCACCGCAATGTTCGTATCTGCCAATCTATTGAATTAATTTCATTAATTGAATTAATTAAGTTGAAAACTTAAATGCAATTAATTCAAATTATAAATTATTTGTATTGCTAATGTAATTGTATTGCAAAATGGTAATGGCAGAAAGAATCTCTTCGGTACGGACACGATTTGACTTTTTTCAATATTAACAGTATTTTTTTACCCGATCAGATATTTACTAGGATGATATTCCCTAAGTCACTTTTTTCATGAATCGTCTGATTTACAGTGAAAGTAAATATCGGCCCTTAACTTTTGCATCAACGAAAACGCTTCACTCCTTTACCTCGAGTATCCTTTCAAGGATTGATCTCACACTTTGAGATATCTTGCACCCTATGAATGACGTATTTGCGTATTTTCGTTTTATCTTTTCCATGTGCTCTTTGCTGAGATTGGCATCTCACAAGAGACACGGATATGACGAGATGCTACCTTGTCATGTAGCAGTTTGTATGTCGTGAAGTTACTTCTTGAACTTAGTTCGCGAATAGACCCCCCCCAAGGCGCAATCGATCGGGGCTATTGTCAAAACGAGCCCTCGTTCGTGGTAATGAATTTCAAATCCCTGCTAGTATATTTGGTCCTTGCATTCGTCGCCCAGTGGACAAGCGTTGATAGCTGACGCTCTTCACTATGACGGGTTGCCGATAGCGGGACGCCGGCGCCCTATAGACGAACGAGTCGTAGCTGACCAGATAAGAACTAGCAAATGCTATATCCTGAACAACAAAGACGATCGGGCTTTCCCAAATAACTGTTGGACGACTTGTGCTCGTTTTTGCATCCGATATCAGTGGTGCAACATATGCTTAACCTTATCGACAATAGCAAATATCCGAGGATGAGGTTAACAATTACTACTCGATAAGCGGCTAAGAAAGGGTGAGTCAGAAGATGACAGATTACGCAATGCCTTTAACAACTCGCTGACCTGACCCTTTTGTCTAGCCACGATGTCTTATTGTTAGCATGTTATTAACCTGCCTCGAAGGTGAGCCTCGCGATGATGCTATTATACCAGATATAAGCCATAAAACAAAAAAATCTACTGTGAAATCTGTTCGTAGCACGTTACTCAATGCAGAGTTGACTTGAAAATGTATCCGAAATAGGGCTCAATTTCAGCCGACTTCATGCTCTGATATATTTTTATTGTCTTCAATATGTATGTGACATAATAGATATCTTTTCACTCTTCGTTAAGCCTTATCCTATCACCAGATCAAAACTGTCTTTTTCTAGCTGGTTTGTCAAACATTGCTGAATAAAAGACGAAATAAATGTGCGCACACATAAGTAGCCGTAAATAGAAAAAAACTCGCACATCATAGCGAGTATTATCGGTTCCCTTCCATTCTGAAAGTTCGCTTTAAATGTGATAATACATGTCAATTAAAATAGACAAACGTATTTGGCCGATTGGTAAACTATTCAGTCACGAACGCATATGACTGTATGCCCATACAAGCATACGCGATGTCTACAGATGAAGCAAACAAAACGTGACAGAATCAACTGATAACAAATAATCTCATTATTCTGTCTAATTAGGAGTTTCAACGATGTTCTGGCAATGTTGGACCACGTCCGCAGTTTTATATCCATTGAAATCGTTGCTTTCCATCTTTGTACACACGCCTCTTGCGTGAAATCAAGCCTCTGCGACACGTTATGCCGCGCTTTAGTTTTCGTACCGAAACATCGGCTCGATAGGCTCGTAGAATATCGCATCATGTATTATATTACATGGAAAGATATTCTGTGCTAGTCCGTGATGAAGTGGCCCACTTTTTTCAAACGTCCCAAAATGTTGAGACCCGACGTGAAGCGCCGCATATCGCATAAGCGATAATGGTGAAGAAACACAAAGCTCAGACAACTTGTACCATCAGGAACGAAAGCATCGACAGTAATGTTGAAATTAATTATCTATCTGGATGGTGGTACTACATGAAAAAAAAAGCTGACTCATTATAGGTCAACGTATCTGCATACGACGTTATCTGTAGTCAACTGGAAATTGGACCAAGTCGTTAGAACAATATATGAAACAACTAAAAAATAGCTATGTTAGCAGAACAGATGTTAGACTAGGCAAGTCGTAAATACATGACGCGTAAAATAAACAGACACTATACACGATAAGTGAAAAGGTATTACATCTCCATATTGTTTTCACTAGTAATAAAAGTGATGATGATAGTCATGTCTAGGGTAGCACTTACCGGCCATGAGTGATGCGTGGTGCACGGGGGGCGCTCCATTCTTCTCGGCTTCCTCTTGAGCTTTGCGCAGCCGGTATTGTTCGAGGATGATCTCCCGACGTCGTTTATCGTCCTCGCGCTTACGTTCGGCCTCGTCTCTTCGAGCTTGTTCGTGCGCCCGCCTCATCGCTTGTTCGTTCTCTTTACGGAGTCGCAGTTGTTCCTGTTGTTGACGTCGTTTTAGCGATGCCATCATGATCATCTCCTTCCTACGAGCCATCTCGACGTCCGATAGCGACTTCCCATCGCCTATGAAAGCACCGCCGTTATCATTGTAATTATTATTATCATCACCAGCAGCCACAGCAGTACGTATATGATCATGGCCGTGGATGCCCATCAGGACCAAATCAACAGCAGATGCACGAGAGCCACAGCAGTTGCCATGGGAATGATTTTCATTACAACCGTCGGCATGGTGAATATGACCCAGCGAATCGTCGTTACATTTATTGCGAAGCGAAAAATCAACGATAATAGCAACGTTATTCGAAACGAAACCGAGACGCCGTGGAATTGATGAAATATTAATTGTCAGCATTAATAAGTCATCACGAATTGACGATACGCAGAAGTTTCCCGAATTTGAAGTTGACACAGTTCGATGATGTAGAGAGTAGATCCGACAGCATCGAGGTGAACAGCGTTCGGCGTTGTGGTCGACAACCGCGAGGGCACCCCCAACTGCGATAAAGTAGTGGCCATAGCCAAATGACTGAAGGGGCACAAAATGTTAGCCCCAACGATTGCGATTTTGATGAAAGGCGTAAAGGTACAAGAACAGAGACAATGAAACATCGAAACACTAAAGGTTGGTTTAAAGACTTGATAATCTCCTAGCGACGAGCTTGATATAGTGAGCGTCTCGGATAAGCCTTTCTCAATCCTATAGTACTTGAGCAACTTATTTCTAATAATTCTAATACAACCACATTATTTACTTCACACAAGCAAGGTGCTATTTCTTCGAAACCAGGACACAGGCATCACTTTGTGCGAAACAAGGAAATGTAGCGGTTTCAGTCTTGGATGATCAGAATGGCAGGCGATTGGCTACAACTAGTTCAATAGTCGAGCCATTAAGGATGTTCACACTCGTCTTTATACAATCCAGCTTGCCAGGCCGCAAATTCTGAACGGGGAAATTTTCAAAATTATTGTCGGTTCTCTCCTGGGGTTAATTACAGCAACGACTGTTGCTAATCATGCTTTTACGGCCTCAAGGGGTGGCAGTGAATATCGATATTCAGACACCAAAAAAGATTCCATATTCACTAGGCCTTGGCCGAACAACAAGCCCTAGCCGCTCGAACGGAACAGCCGAAGCAAAAAACAGAGGGCGGTATGTTGTCTGTTAGGGACGATGGACAACAGCGGCTTTTAGGCGTCGTTTGGTAGCGTAAAGGACTGACTATTGCATACATCAACGATAGAACCACTGCTGCAATGTTATGGTCAAATGACGCATATATTTTTTTAAATCAATTTTACTAATAGTAATTGATTGAGTGGTACCATCTTCATCGAGCGTCGCCCCCTATTATTAGTGGGTGGTCTGGAAAATTTCTTCACCATTAGGAGCGTTACCCATTCCATTTCGTCTTGTTGCTGTTACGCATTTGCTCATTAATACTTAACGATGGCTTTAAGTGAGAAAAATGCCTAAAGGCAGGTATGGCAAAAGCTCTGGCCGTTAATATTATGATTGTTATTATGTAGCACGCACAAGATCGTTAACTGACGACCACTAACCGACTTGAGGAAACATATGGCCCTTTTGTGTTTTCTAATTCCAACTGAATGAGGATCGGGAGTCAATCAAACTATCAGTTTCAATGCACTAAATAAAGACAACAAAGTGCGCGACAAAGAGCTCCCTATGCTAAAACTGTGACGCCTGGCATACGACAACCGCAAATAGTTCTGAATAGGTACACCAACAGCATCGGTGCTACGTCAAGAATAGCAGAAGCATCCTCACGCACCCCGAACAGAAGGATACCTCCAAACAACCCGATTCACGCAAGCTTCTAGCGATTGTCCAAGCGACGTCCCTGATCCAACGCTACCTTCCAGCTCGACCCTCAATCCTTCCGCCGTCGTCGGTAGAAAAATTCATACTCATCATATATAGTTTCATTTTGTGAAGGGACTAGACTTTTCGAGATAATATTGCAGCTTCGTTCGGTGCGTCTTGACTCCCTTCGATTACTAGCACTCTCAATAGGAACGTGAGGAGAGCGAACCGGAGCAGAAACAGAAGAAAAACAACAAGCCAATAAGAAACAGCAACAATGACGAGCATACATTAAAGTTACCCAATCCAAATGCTTCCATTTTTGGTTTAGCGATCGCAGCGCTCACTCGACTGCTATTCATATGTTCATAGCTGATAGTGGCGCTAGCGAGTAGTAAATGATCAGTATTAACGCCGATACGTGCACCCCGTTCCACGCCGGCAGTAGCGGTACACGGTTAGTTCCTTCGACGATCATGCGCCTGGGTTAAGAATTTTACTAGGTATCGGACTTGTGGCGTACAGAATAGATTGCAGTTTCTTGGTAGGAAATCCGGCATGCCGTAATATAATAGAATACTCCTAGTACAGGCGGCGGGCAAAGGAGTGCCAGAATGTGAGTGTGGAGAAGGACAGCCACCGTGGCCACCTCGACGACCGCTGTACAATATTGTAAAGGTATGTAACGAAGCTCCATTAATGCCCTTAACGCCATTTGCAGTGTCACGTCAATCGTCCCACACCAATATGGCAGCACGCGTTTGTAGAACTTATCATCCTAATTGGCCATCTTTTAAACAGAACACCATGAAATGTACGATTATTGAACAAGATTCAATAGCACCAAATGTCCTGTGTACACGTGAATATCCGTGCAAGATACGTGCTATCGTAAAAAAAATGTATGTGGCGAAGGTGTGTGAGATTAAAAAGCTATTTTATCAAATGAACAAACGTGCTACACTTTTTACATATTGATATATTTGTTAGTGCATAAGTATATAAGTGAAGCACAAGTGATATAGTAGTATTGACATGTATGTTATTCATTTTTTTCGTTTTAACACAACATTTACACTAGATAATGAGGAAAGCTTTCTACAAGATTCACAGGAACAATGTACAGATGAGGCATTCTAATGATGATGATAACAATGTAGAAATACTTCCATTCGACCAGGAACCACAATGGATTACAGCCAACGGTAATGAGGCTACTGATAATGCAAAGGCATCTTTAATATTGAGACTATTGTAGAAAGCCAAAAATATCATGGTTTCATTGATTTTAGGTGGTACATCCTGTACATGGCGATACCGTCAGTAAAACCAACACCGAATCTACTAATCGAACGATTGCAGTGTGCAAGATTAGAAGCAAATGTTTATTTATAACAATCTGAAACTTTTTACATACGAAAACAGGAAAATTGAATTAAAGCTGAGAACCTGGCCAAAAACTGGCATTAGCTTCAGTGTATCATAAGAAATTTCGTTTTCCAAAAAGTTGACGGTCCAGGTAACGTAGGTGGCTCTACGTGCAGAGACAAAAATGTCGTTACACAAATACAGATATCATTTCCCTGATTCTCAATGTATAATCGCAGCCTTATATTAACAATACTAAATAAAGGACAGTGTTTTTAATCAAGGTGAGTACGGCTTCAACTGAAAAAATCATACGCTATTGCCATAAACGAAGTCCAATTGTTGCATATATAAATACACAAAAGAACAGAAAGAAAGATATCTGCGGTAGACTGAGTTGTTTCTCAATGTGTCGGAGAAATGTCCCGGTTCAAAAGGACGCAAAGTGGTTGTTAGAGAGGTTTGTGATAAGCCTAAGTGCTACAGGTGACTTATCTATGGGAGAGCTATACTATTATCGTACTATCGCACTGTAATCGTATAGTACTATCGTATTATAGGAGACCATAACGATTACGTTGACTATGTGTCAATACACACTACATACAAACATAGCATATATAGCCATTGTTCTCTATGCTTGTCGCAGTGCGTTGCTAAGTCACCAATTTCTATAAATTTCAATTCAAGGAAGTCCTCACATTCAGTTATTGTTATTGTGTATGAGAACAGAGAGAGACAAACAGGAGTTATCCAGGCAGGCTAGTTGATGACACGAAACAAAACCTATGCCCATGTGTAATTCATAGAGTAGCCCCCCCCCCCCCCCCAAAAAAAAATTATGGGGGGCTACTCTATGAATAGTACCAAAAACAATTATAAACGAATTGTGAAAATCTTACCATATAAGAAAACGGCCCAGAATGGTTATTTGTTGTTTTTTTATCAGTGTGAAAATGTTCTATTAATATTGAGGCAGTTTCGGTTATACTACATGAAGAATACTTATCTAATATGCCTATATCACCGACAGTAAAAAAGATCGAAGGCGCTGCCCCCAGCAGAAATATATCTTTATGCGTAAAAATATATTTCTGTAATATGGAGGTCGAAAGATTACGCACGAGCTTTGAGACGTATGAAACTGCAATACGTTTTAGCTTACCTATAGCTTTTTATAAGATTCCTTACTCATATCTATGTTTTTGCCTATGGCTAATGTTACTGCCTTTCGGCCATTAAACACCAGACACGCCGCTGTTAAAACTCGATGAAAATATGAGTCAGGACGTTGCAATTTGTTTTGGATATACGCATACAACTCATCTCACGATTTGATTTGTCCGTTTATATATGCAGCCAGAATTTCCCAATTTTTTTTTGCTTGTCATTAAAAACAGACGAAGTCGAGCTGAAAAAGTGAAGGCTATTGGCAGCTTGGTAGATTACCTCAGGTTTTTCCTTCACAATAGCTACGAACAAATGATTTCTGCTTATTCAGTTAGAGTCCGATGGCTGCTGTATAGAGATATAGTGGTAAAACTAAAGAACTCCAAGAGGCCATCTTGCCATAGATACAAGAGCATAACATTCAGCAGTGATTTCATTAGCCCACAATTTGTCCCTTTTACTTTTGCCGTCATTTGGATCAAAAAAAAAGCAAAATCTAACAACAGCAAGATATTCATAGCAGGAAAGCTGCGAAACAAGCGCTCGAATCAAGTGCGAAGATGGAAGTGATTCGGTTCGGGCGACAAATAAAGGTTGGCATTCTCAGAAGAACTTTCCTACCATTCCGATCTGTCCTCTATTTCTACCCCAATGTTCGACAACGAAACAACGTATTAAACTCTCAGAACATTGAGCGGAATACCACTCGTTAGCTCCCATGTTACTTTCTATATACGAGCACGAATACTGTGCTACCAACGCACTTGAGACGCAAACCTATGCTGAAAGTATTCATAGTACGAAAGCCAGTAATAAAACAACACCTTTGCGACGGGCGCGAACTCGCGAAAGCGAAGATGATCGACAGCGTCTATGCTATAATAGATGTCTTTTTCATCTTATTATAGAAGATAAAAAAGAGTCGCGTCAAAGAGCAACTGTCGTTATGCGGCCTTCTATTTATATTGGTCATTGGGTACAGTATAAAGCAGAGCTATATGCTTGAAGGATAACGACTGCATATTACAGGAGGACCGGCGAGGGCATCGCGAACAACACAAAAAAAGTTTTTTTTATGTATGTCTGTATGTATGTCACAATCAAGAGACGACAGAGCTCATTGACTTCTCGCTGTCTATAGTTTCTTCTTTCTGCCCCATTGCTGCTAATTGCACTAATTAGCAGCGAACGCTACCAGTAGGGATCAAATATAATACTTTTACAGAATAACTTCATTGGTCATCAATAGCAACAGATCGTCCCAACTGAGCTTATGCTGTGCGCCTACGAAGGTCTACTGTACGCACGAATGCAGACATCGATAGGCATGAGGGACGTGCGCGCAAAAGTAAGACACAGGCAGGGATACGAGAAGCTCGATGGCTGGATGGCAGCTTGGCGCGAGTGGTTTGATTATGTATTTTATTGTTATTACCGGTTTCGGCTGGCTTCGATGGCTGACAACATTTAGAATAACATTGGGCCGCAAATATACATACGCGCGTATTTGATTATCATTATTGGTTATTGAGTTGCATCGATACAACAATTAGTAAGTGGTGATTAAATAACAATGTTGTACGAACCGCAAAACGATACTGTGCTTTTTAATTGTCTAGTACGTGCGTACACGGGTGTTCTTTAACAGATTTACGCATTAACGTTGTTCTTTATGGTAGTTTCCGAGACCCATTTTGTCTCACCCCTCATTGTACCTTATATACTTCGTTGGACATCTTTTCAGGTAATGTATTAGGGAGATATTCAAATATACGCGCAAAAACATTGCTGCGGTAGCAAACGCAGTTTCATGGCGTCAAACAAGCAAGACGGTTCAAAGTGTGTCTCAAAGGCCTCACATCGTAAAGTGCGCTTTTTTTCGAAATTATTTTCGTTCGCCCCACAATTACGTTGAATCATTAGCCTGAATATCATTGCACTTCCAAAACTGGTTCCTGTTCTGAATACAGCCCGTATATGCTTTGAAAGGTTTCAGACCTTACAATATAAAGTGTATTCTCTTACATACTTCTCTTATCAACAATCTTTTAGTTCTGACGAGAACCAGTAACTGCCAAATTTCGAAATACAGTCACAGTAAGGGTCAGTAAGTGTTTGGACTGAATAATACGAACTCCTCCTATACGGTGTACACTGACGCTCTGTCTATGGCGATAATCAATGATGATGATCTTTGATAGGGCTGTAAACATTAACAGCTCATAAAATTGAATTCCGTAAATGAATGTGATCATAAATTATTCCGTAGATCAAATCGGCATGAGTAATGATGTCCACAGCAAACCAAGCGGATAGATGCAATGCCTGTAGACAGCATCCGCAAGCTCATAAAAAAATCGTCTCAACTTATTTTATGATCGAATAAAATTACGACTGGAAGAGAAACTGTACTATTAAACGTACATGCCTCAACTTAGGGTAAAGGACGTAGCGTTTTTCATGTTCTATTAGCAAATTATCGATTAATTATCACAGATAAGCGAAGTGGCGAGCTGCTGAACTTCCGTGACTCCAAGCAAGACTCCAGCCTCGCACTTAAACTGCGTCAGCTGCCATTATTAAAAAGATACGATTACAACTCCGGCAATCTGACTCATCGTCTGTTTCAGCGGAAATACATAGAGATACGGTGACGTCAGGCTGCGTCACCGAAAACAACGAGTAAATTTACAAGGCCCAAGGCGATGACAGGGAAAAACAGCGACACTACCAGCCAATCACAGCTCAATCAAAGCCATTCTCAAAAACTGGTACAATACTGAATATAGCTGTCCTTAATATTTTGTTCTCTCTTGCACTAAATTTATCCAGGACCGATTTATTACAAATTAGCTACGGGACATTTTCAAAAGATCTCTTCAAACTCTACGCAAGGCTGGACTTATATACAACACTGGAAGACACAGTTGTCATCCACGTGCATTCTGATTCTTTTTTTTAACACTAAAATCTTGATACTGTTTATTTGTATTGAAGAACTATTAAGGCCGACGCCGATTAAGGTAAAACAAGATGAAGGCAAAACTTCGGAGCCCTCATTTTGCTACAAGGTTGGGTACGCTTCCGTTTGTAGTAGCTAGATGGAACCGTACCCATTCAGTGGTTATTAATATACAAACATAAACGAATCAGTTCGTGTATGTATTGTGGCCTTATGATCATCACACAATAAACTATAATAACTGTCATCATTACGGAAGCATTCATCTTTGTCCTTCGTACGTGATCGACATTCTTATTGTAACCCTCCGGAGTATCCGGCCATCTTTTTGACGTGACCTCTTATTTTGCAATGTCGAATGTACAAATAAACAGAAATAATCATTGGCGATTCGTGTTCGCGTTTTATCGTTGCTTACAGTTTTTTTTCCAGCTAACCTTTTTCACGTCGTATAGGCGAACGATCAACGAGTTTGCTGGTTGGTTATCATCAACGTTCGCTTCTATATTGTGTCATACATTGTAGTATCGGAAAAAATTGTATTGAATATTATAATTTATGCATTAGCTAGCGTTGACGGAAAAAAAAGCTTCACGGAAAGCAACATAAAAAATAAGAAAAACTCGCTTTTCTTACCGATGACGAAACCGTCGGCCGAGGGTTGGGTTTTCGTGACGGGCGCTGAGGCATTATCAGCCGTTTCTACTCCTGAGCCGCTTCGAATCGACGAGTCGAGACGTGTCGATAATCGCCTGCCCTCGGACTTGGTGATCGTCATTGAGTTAATCGTTGTCGTAGAGACCGTGGGCATTGACACAGGTCGAGTGCCCCCACATAGTGACGTGACTGTCGTATCGGCCTGAAACGTACAATGAAACAATCGAGACTCACCTTATCCCTTGCTATAATTGCACCTTTAGTCTTTTAGCAATGTTTTCAATTCTTTATGGAATCAACTTGGTTTATTTACTGGCGAATTATTCATGCCTATGAGAGCTTCGTCAGTCTTTTCGCTTCAACTCGCATTGTTCTATGATATTAGACTTAGATCCTATAAGGGCGACGTGCACTCTTCACCTCTGCCTTCGTGAAATTATCATCAGACGTGTTCTTCTTGATTCGTCCGCAGCATTATCATTAACGAGATGATATTATCAATGCGGTATGAAATTGTCGTATATCGTACAATAAGGACCAAAATTAGTCATTGACTCCAAGCGGGGACATGCATCAATGGATTTTGCATTATTCCAATAGAGAACTACTACTAGATGTGGTCATCAAACTTACTCCATTCTCGTCATCTTCGTAGATCCTCTACAATACACTTCTTAGAACAACTCGTTTTAGGTTATCTGTTGTGCGATTTAACGCAACTAATGGACCCACCAAGACCCCGCCTAACCTATCAATCTGTGACGCGAACCGTCGCGTAGCCACAAGACTAGGCTGAAGCAGTACTTATAAAAACCGAATTGTCTAGAAACCACAGCCCCGGTAAATCTTATGTGGAAATGTCGCGCGCGTTCATCGTCGCCATCACAATTACGAAAATATTTTAGTTTCAATAGCAGTATTTTCATCAGATAAGTAGTAAAACGTCCCAGATAAAGTGGAAGCCGATAACATATCCAAGAATCGATAACATATCCAAGTATTAGGAATTATTCCTACAATGATACAACTAACGGTATTGCAGGATTCGCTACTTTCTGCGCTGTTCCCTCCTACATTTTCTACACATGGTAGTGGTAGGTCATATGGAATGGTGTACCAATCTGTCCGGTGGTCATCTGTATTTCTAATATTCGTATGCTTCCTCTAGCATAATTGTTAGTTCTGTTTGTTGCCGTATCACGGTATTGCTTCTCGGTGATTCGATGCGGCCACAGAATGGAGCAACTTTATTGGAACAGAAATAAGGTAGGAGTAAAAGGTATTAAGCAAAAAAAAGTTCAGCCCGGTCAGATACGTATTCAATAGCGTTTCATCAACGTGACATTTGGTGGAGAACACAACCTAAATGGACTACAACAGCCGGGGTGTAAGCAAACCCCACAAAGGGCATATTACGGTACCATGTCTGTCCTAACGATATTTTTAGCTAGTTACCCGAAACGGCACGGAGGCATCTTGTATCACATTTTGTAAACTTCCTCACATGTGCAATGGATAGACGGCAGACCGTTCAACATTGGGAACTGTTTGCAAAGATCAGTCATTATCGAATTGTTCCGCGCTGGGCAAACGTCCATCAAGAACCAGACTATAGAAATGAATAGCCGATTCACAGAAGGATATCGATAGCCGGTTGGGCTATCCCTGCAGTGGTCAAACGTCTTGGAACTTTAATCGTTTTAAAAGCGTTGCTTCTTTGGGAGTTTTTTTTTTACATTTTTTAAATTTTAAATTTTTTACATGTAGCATGTTCGAGCATCCATTTAACGAGTTTACGGCAGTCAATATCGCTTGATGCACGACTGTACGCAGAAAGTTATCTGCGGATTAAAGAAAGAATATATTGAAAATGGGCAGTTAGTGATTTAGGTTCCGAAATGAAGCCGTAACTCCGGTGGACGATGCTTTTATTAAGTGTACTGAATGTCAAAAATGCACACATGGAAAAAATTACGTTGAAATATCATTTTACGTTTACATGGAGTCATAGAAATAAAAACTAAAAAGGAAGTACAATTTAGGCTCACTATCCTGTAGACATAATTACTGAAATTACATGATGTTACATACGTAGAAACAAAAATGGTCGCTTTAAGTGATACCGAATCCAGTCCAATCAGACATCTAGTATTCAATCTACATATGCAACGGCTTTGATTTAGCTGTTTGCCTCCTCTCCACCCGCCGTTACATTACTCATTATTCATGATTTATGCATAGTGCATTGTGATTTTTGCTGAATTCGTGTTCAGTGCTAAACATTAGCAGCGGCGCCTTTATGCAATTTTATTAATTTATAATTTTGCATCGTGATTATAGCAAATAAGAATGGGGTACTTAATGGCGAGATGATGCCTTTACTCACTGATATTTACATGTAGATATTTTTGTTTTCTGACATCGTCAATTCTCATGGATGTTTAACACTGAGCATGCTCTGCTGTAATATTTGATTTGTTGACCAGGGGGATGGGCTTCGGTCGCGTTCAATTATTAGAACCAAGTTGCATCACCATTTGAGTAGTGCTCATTTTGGCAATTTACGAAAGACGATATTTCGAGTGCTCGAAGAGGAATCAAAATCCTGCCCCAGCCAGATAGAGCCTCTTGTTTTGACAGTAACACGTTCTGCCGAATGCGTCTCTCCGTCTGATATATAATTAAGTGAACAAAAATTTATTGCTTCTGCGCTGAAGTTTAACGTAACAGTAAAAATCGAAGATGCCCTTCCCACGAACAGCTTCCAACGATTTGCTCGAAAGAAGCAGTTCACTCCAATGGAACTCAAGTGTAGCATCCGCTACTTCACAACCGCGTTATAAGGTGACACTATTTTTGCATGGACGAAGTACGAAGAATCGGAACGAAACGCGAGACCTTCAAATCGGCAGAGCGAACAGCAGCACCTGCTCAATCGACCATTAGTAATACATTACTCGATCCAGTTCGGCGGTGACCCTCGCTCACGCACACAGACGGCAACGTATCGAAAATATTTAGCAAAAGTCAACAACAATAACATTTGTAATTAACGAGCTCTGTATCGTGAACGGCTAAATAAGCAATATATTTAGATCATACGAATGGAAGAACCAACAGAAAACACTCGGCCTCTATTTCTCTCCTAGACATGTAGCGCCAGCTAGCGGACAAGTCCAGCCAAATAAAGATAAATGCTGAATTTACCAATGGACAATACGATTGACTTATAGAACGGGAAAAAAAAACAATAGAGATCAAGAGCACCAAGCACAACGATTCGATGCCAATGAGCAACAGCCAGTGCTTGCCACACCCGGAAACGTTTTGACGTCGTCAAAGATATTGCAGTTTCAACGACGAACAACGAGAAGAAGGTATGTCGTTATCGTGTCCGACCACACCTTTCTCGAAACAGATTCACCGAAAACCTATATGTTATTCTGTGTATATATATATATATATATAACGATTTTACTAGAACGTAAAGCGTTCTTTCTTCTTTACAGTAATGACTATCGTAATTTAAAACTTCAGCTTATCCGAAGCAGTTGCATAGCCGCATTATTACTTATATTCGACTGGGCCATAACAAACTTAGCGAGTAACACTTGGTGATAGACCAAGCGCCGGTTACCGGCAACATCATATACCATTTAACAGCAACTAACGACACCAAACGCCGCCAAACCATGGGTATTAGCAGACGGTGTAATGTCGAGCTTTTGCCGCCGAATTATGATCTAATGTAAAGAAACATTTTTAAAATCGTCGACTAGTTACTTCAGGTAGGCTACCAAATTTTTGCTTATAACGTATAGTAGCGAATGTTTTGTAAATACGTCAACTAAATATTTGGTAAATCGTTTATAGGTACGAGAGGAAATATGCCGTTAGATGATCTAGTTTGAATTATCTGTCGTTCCCAATATTCTATCAATAGAAATAACAATGTGTTTTCATAAGTAATTCTAAACAAATCTTCCTGCAATGGCAGACCTGATGTATAGCTGTACCGCATTGTGTCAAGGGCCTGTCAAGAGGAGCAGTTGCTAGAAACGAAATTCGAAAAACCGCCATGTCCATAGCACTGAAGGACCAATAATTTTTCCAATAATTCGAATTATTGACTTTCTATGCTTGATCTCACATGTACTCAAGTTTGTAACTAAGCACGTTCGCGGGAAGTATACGCTGGCCCATAAATCCTGTACTCCTACTCTACTTTAGCGCCGAACCAGAAGATTGGGTCCGGCCCAGCTAAAATACGAGCAGAAACGAACTGTTTTATTTAATAATCTAGTTTTTTTCACTCATATATGTAAAGCGTTGCTAACGCCAAGAGTCAAGCCGCAGAAGTTTATCTATACGCCCACTTTAATCCTGCTAGGTGCAGTCCTCTCATAACTACAACCGTCAACAAAACAATCAATGACGACAGTCGTCCTTTTATCTGTTAACATGCTGAGAAAGCGGTTGATATACAACGGTTCTTCAAGCAGAATAAAAAGCCGTACATATATACGCTCACCAAGCAGTAGTCTCAGGAAAAGCAGATATAAACTGCAGAATCAAAGATAATCATTACAAAAATTAACAACAGCCGTAGCAGCAATAATGTCAGTGCCGCTAGAAACAACGTTCTGCTTTAGCCCCATAAACTTTGACCGAACCCCATGCCGCACTATGAATATAGGACTACTGAAGAACTACGTACGAGAGCGTCGTTGTCGACCAACTGAAATCCAACAACAGCTTAATATAACAATGACGACGTAATAAACATATGTCATTTGGCCTATACTAACAATAACGCCAATAACATCGGTGGCGGCGGGGAGAAGGTAACGCAAAGAAACATTTCTAACTTAGTCGAATGTTTACTTTGTCCACTTCAGTTGGCAGAGCGCGGTTAGTATCACAATAAAGAACAATTGATGGCATCTAAAAATGACGCTAACGTTACGAAATGTAAGTAACATGTGTGTTTTCTATGAGGTAAAGGGAGGAATAGGCAATTACAGAATGAAGCGCAGATGAATTCAGGCGTGCACGAATCTGCGACACTGGCAAAGAGGATCAGTACGTAAATCAATGAAGCCTTTCGTTACTGTATTCGACTGTGGAGCGAAATTTGTGTTGTCGTATCGATAGTTTATTATATGTTTCGTGTTTTTAATTTAATGGCTCCAACGCTGCTCGCTGGCTAATAAAATAGATCGATTACTTAACATCGGCGTGCCGACAGAAAGTAGCCTGTCTGTCAATCGTTGCTCGATTCACCTAAAAGAAACCGGTTCTTTTTATTATAAAAATAACCGATTATTTCATCTCTGTTGAATGAATACAAGGCATCCACGAGCTCGTTGGTACTATAAACATGATTTTCTAAACAAACGAAAGTGAGAAGGAAACGGAGACTAATATATTTCAGTTTAGGAAGAAAGGCCTGACAGTCGATCCATATTCACCGACTGTATAAAATTCAACGTATTTCGTCCCATCGTCGTATGTGAATCGCGACATCTTTTTTATGTAGAGCCTGAAGCGATACACACTTCGTATAGTTTAGCGAATTGATTGAATACTGAAATTGTTTAGCTCTCAATTCAATTTAGTCAAATAAAAACATTCACGCGTGCACGTGTTAAATCGGCAAAACGCTGACCTCATCTCGGCCGGGCTGGATGCGTGGTCGTAGTTTAGGCTTTGGCTTGATGACGGTTCCTTTTGTGTCACCCCCATTGTCATCGCCGAATGAAATAAAGAACGATCCACCGTCTCGTTCTCGTTCCTGAGTTCGTTCGGTTGTAGGTGGCGTATTCTCCTGTTGATCAACCCGCTCCTCAGATATCCGTCCACTGGCCGAAGTTCCGGTATCCCGCTTTTTTCGCTCTGGCCGAGCTGGTGGAGGCGGCGATGGTGTTTTTGTACGCTCTTGATAGCCTACATCTGTAAAAGTAAGCGAGCTTATTAATGAACTGTTGTTCAGGTTCGTTATACAGTCAAATAGTGACGAGATCTGGAATGAAAATGTGATGTTTAACAATTTCCCTCATGCGCCAAAAGGATAGTTTCGGACCCTGGACGTATTTGTGGATCTTGCGACAAAAGTACGATCTCGTGCAGTGTCCAATAAATGCAATACACAAAGTTGCGGAGGGGTAAGGCCAAGCGAAATTTTGTTGCGAATACGTACGGTACAACCGTATCTGTCCTACATCGTTTCCCCTATTTTGCTTTCGCCCTACCTTTAATCTGCTGCTGCTGCTGCTGCTGAGGCTGAGCTTGCTGCAGATGCTGCTGCTGTTGTACGATCTGCACCTGATCGATTCGATGTTGTTCATGTTGAATTTGCAAGTGCATCTGTTGTTGGTGCTGTTGCTGTTGTACTGAGGGCTCATGCAAGTTATAAGGCTGTTGAACGAAAGGATGTGCTTGCTGTTGCTGCTGCTGGAGCATGGTATGGTTGAGGGATTGTGGCGGCTGGGAAGCGCCCCACGAAGGCTGAGGAGATGCCCAGTATGGGGGCATTATCTCACCTGGATAGGTACCCGGCATTCCGCCCATTGGACCGAATCCACCAAACATTGCCGCAGGGGGTGCTGCAAGCAGGCCCAAGCATGGTTAGAGCGTTGCGGAGTTACTAGCCATCTAATTACAGTGGCACTAGTATCTAAAGCAGGCTCGTTATTGCTCGAATGTACGCAAAACTCAGAAGATAATGACATTTACATGTAGAGAATGGAATCCGCAATGACTTACAAAATTTATTTACTACGAGAGTCATCACGCCATAGACCGGTTCATTATTCTATTCGAGCTCTACAGTCTAGCGAACATGCTGATCATCCGTATTTTATTTATTTCTATTTGTCTGTTTTAATGAGGCCTCAGATTGTGTTTCAAATTGTTGAGGTATCCATGTCTTAAACGTCAAATCAGGCAAGTTCAGCTCACCTTTACCTTAGGCTAAAGGGATGTATCTGTAACCACTATAACATATACTATTTGGACCAAAATGTTAGTACAAATAGTGGTACGAAGTATCGCCAGGTATCACTATTGAACGAGCAACAAGGGACATACACAATAAGACGTTCATAGTTCAGGTTCATAGAAAGCTGGCCTGACATTACTATTATGTCTATTTGTACCTGCGTTCCTGTTTTTGTTCGTACCTTATCATAACCTAAGACGAATCAGAGGTCTAGGAAAGAGGTCGCACCTCTTACGCATATAGATTTCACAAAATTGATGAAGGCCAGTGAAAGTGAAGTATAAATTACTATGATGTGCGTGCAGGGCGAACCTTCGCCACCTTGATACTAAAAAAGCGATTCCTAGATTCCATGCATTTGTTTATCGGAGATGGTACCAAGAAACATAACTCGTATACTCGGCAGCAGATAAACAGTTTTATAGTTTACCTATCGTGCTTGTTTTTGTCTTCATAGTCTAAATAAAGGACTGCGTAGATGCCCATAGACACATACATAATCATAAGGTGTCTTATTTAAAGCGATTTTTTTAAGAAAGAAAACTAAGTCTCACCGGCTGGAGGCCCCCATTGCCTGCGCATTACAGCGCTGGGGTATCCATGAATGGGGGAACCTGCGTCATGCAGGTAGAATGTTGTCGGCTGACCAGTGCCACTGAGGTGGTTTACATGCGAAGCCGACCGCGAGTGAATCAATGAGTTCAGCACCTGTCCAGTGTCCAGCAATATATAATAGCCATCGTTTAGCGCACTAATCTTAATAATCGAATCCCACAATAGCCAAAGAGAAAAGCATTGGTATAGCCTTGTTCTTCAAAGTAGAGAGGAGATGACATATCTTCGTAAACAATGCATTCAAAATATAGGCTTTTACTGTCGCTATCAAAGGGTCATCTTGCCATCTGTTCCTATGTTCAAAACTACAGGCAGGGCACTCTTGAATACTTTCGGCATATATTATCTATTTTGGGAATTAATAGAGACGCAAATAAAAGATATAAAGATAATTTTATAATACATCGTTAAACTTATTTAAATTCGAAATCGACACTAAACTTATTGCTTCTTTTTTACCTGCTCCTGTTTGGCCACCCTTTCAGCGCTGTTTCGCCGTCGTTTCTGTTGATCGTTTGGTGGGGGTGTGGGACTTCTTCTGTCCGATTCCTCAGAGGTACTTGTCCCGCCTCCTCCTACACCCCCCGGGATGTCATCGCCGCGACCAACACTTATCGGTCCCGAACTGTTGCCATTGGACACACCTTGAGACACCCTGGTGCCTCCACCTACAACCTGTTGGAAGACCTGTTTGTTTGCCTGGGTGCGTTCCTTTTTCGCTGCCTCCTGAGCTGCTCGCCGTTCCTGCTCGATTCGCTGACGTCTTTCATCCATCTGTTGCCTGCTTGGAGACCGACACACGATCAAATAATTAACTCCAATAATTACTTACAGGCTAGTAATAACATATACTGAACAGCCAAATCTTTACCTTCAATAAAATTGTTGTATCACTATAGCTCCACTTTACAACATAGATGTTCTATTAGCTGTTCCGCTGTTCTATAAGCGTACGCGCTTCGCTGGATACCTTACCTACGTTAGAAATCAAGGCACTTTAAATAGTTCTACTTTACTAATAATTTAATGACTTATTTTTTGTTCTAAGTTATTTTCGATGCAAGGTCAAAGCAGGAACTCACCGAACGGCAAACATTTCCTCAACATCACCTCCTTCATCGCCCGTAGGCGTTTGCTGCATCCAGGTCGTGGTCGGTTTCTTGGATCGCCGTTCCGCCTTGTATGTAAAATTCACTTGAGAGGAGCAATCCTGAGAAGAAAGCTGCGCAAAGCTCGTCTGCTTGTTGTCCCGTGCACCTGCAGAGTACAGAAAACAAAAACACGGCTGAGAAGCAAGTACGGCAAATGGGTTCTAATTTTGCAGTATTGAACGCTAAGTATCCGATTTTGTGAAAACCTTTCTGTGAATACTATACTTAATAAAGCGCGACTAATGCGTCCTTGGCGTCATTTTCGTCGACCTCTGGGTGAAAAAATTGCCACTTTTCTGATTTGCCAACGCCGAGCTGGTACTACAGACAATATATTATTAGACTGCTAACTGAATCAATTACCTGATAGTAATTGCTTACGTTCCCCGTAAATGGGCTATGAAACAAATTGCCTAGAACATGGAACCTGGAAAAAATCAGTCGTAGTAAGCAGCAAACGAATGTGTCCTTCTAGCGCCGCGTCAGTGTAACCAGACGTCAGTTGCTATTTACCTTCGAAGGGATCCGGTGCATCGGGATCCATCATCTGAAGTGCTGCCTGGCTCCCTGAAAAGTTCTGGATGTGCGACTGCGAAGGAACTCTTCGGAGAGGCTGACCGCCTTCTGAAAGTATTTAGCAATGAAACACATAAAACAAAATGCGGTAGTGCAAAGGGCCGTTATCCTGCTAACCAACGGTATGTAGCGAAAAACGTCTGTACACATATCTCTTACACACTTTCATCGAAATTGTAGTATAAATGACTATAAAAGATGCGCAGAAAATTCAAGTATGTTCACTTTACAAACCAGTTACTTTCGTCTTTCTTTGTTAGAAGTCACATTAGGAGCTCTAGGCGACGTCATATCACACCGTTGATAAGTCCCAGTTCCGTTCGAGCATACAACGAGCAAAATACATAACCTGAACTGCCCTTCCTCCAAGGGCGGAAAACGAATGGTGGACCGAAGAAGGCTCTCTATCCGTTCGCTTAGCAACTGAGACTAATCAACTATTCATATAGGATTAAAGATAGTAAACGTTCGATCGCAGCAATTATGTCTAGCAATAAATGATCACGGACGCCGATTTCGATAGCGGTCGAACGGTCGGGCTAACATTCCTTTACCATAATGCTAATCTATATTTCCCTCTTGTAACCTTTGTACGTTTAAGAAATATGACTGAATTAAAAACTAAACTAGCAACATAGCTTACCACCATCGTGAGAGCGATCCTCAATCGAATTGAACTGGGTGTAGTAATTCTCTAGGGTAGAGTTACCGTCCTGAGAGGATTCTCGGCCCGTCTTGTCAGGACTACCTCGCCTAAAAAACGGGCATTTACACACGTGTACTAGATACACAGTCTGTCCATTTTGCTGATAATGTATATGTTATAGTAACTAGATTTATTCTATAGGGACACTTTCTGAAGTACATGATCTAATAATCTGCCGACTTTGTAGTAATATTCCACGTGCATGAATCATCATACCGTTGAGCTCACTGAACAAGTTCGCTTCGCATGGCTAAGCCATTACGGTTCCTTTACTAACCTGTTATTATTATTTCGATGAGCGGGACTGGCATGGGTCGAATGAGAGTTCCTCTCGAGCACGGCCCCATTTCCCGCACCGGTTGTGCTGCTCGGTGCCGAGATATTCATTTTATTAAAGTAACCCGAAAACTGCTCAAGCTCTTCCGGGTCACTGGTGTTCTCATCTTTGTTACTATCCTTCGAATGAGAATGGGCTTCTCGGTGGCTATCCTGGCTACCAGATGTCCTCTGGGGTCGACCTTTCTTGTCCCTTTGCAGCATCCCCTCTGGCTGTAGGAGCAGATCCGGGATATGCGAACACGAGTTTTGGAGCTTGCGTGCTTTCCGTAGCGTGTAATTGTACTGGACCTCCTCTGTAACAGATAGGTTTGAATCGGCCAGTGTATTTGCGTGATTCATGCATTGCTATTCTCGTAGCAGATATCTATAAAAGACATATATATATAGAATAGCAACGAGTTGTGGCTCGCTTCATCCGCGTCCGTACAGAACCATAGAGGTCACTGATTAAATATGGTATATGTTAAGCAAGTATGTATTAAGTACCCTGTGGCTGAGGCAGATCGTTGTCATCCTCCAGTTCCCAACCTGGCTTGACGACACACTTCGCCGGTCGAATCTCGAACAAATACATGAGATCGGCTACCAGCGCTAGCATATTTGGCCTAATCGTCTCATGCATAAACAATAGATCCTCAAGCGTTAGAAAACAAATATCGTGAGGAAGGTTCTGCTCGCAGAACGCCTGCACCAACTGCAGATTGCACAGTGAATCGGTCAGGTTCATAGGATCGTTTAGGCATAGCTCCTGCCACGGTAATGCATCCGGGCAGTAAAAAGAAAGCAACGAAGAAAGACCACACCCATCCGACAGTTCCGCCATGTCCTGAAACGATCAAAAATGTCCACAATTGAATCACCTAACAATGCTGTCCACCGATTACACTGGAAACGCAGACGAAAATGTCATTGCTTGATAAAAAAGACCTCTCTAATAACGCTGAGATGAATTCATTTATGGATGATAATCGGCTATGACTCTTGCACACTTTTCAGGATCGCTGTCACTACGGCAGATACAAATACATTAAAAAACGTAGCGTTTTAGTTTGGTAAAATCACATCCCATCCGGTTAATCATCAAAGAAAAAAGGGACATGTTCGCTCGTCCCCAAATCACAACCCCGTCACAAGCTAGCGTATTTCAACACAATCTTTATCTATCAATTCTTTTAGACTCCACTTAATACCTGGCCACTACATAGGCAGCCAAAAAGTTATTGGCAGTTTTGTAGTTATGTATGTTCGAAGTATTAATCACCGTCAGAACAGCAGAAAAAATTAACGTCATTGTTTACATTTTTGGCTTGTTAGCTGACGACCCATCTACTTCAGTCGACTGGGTTATCGTCCCATTGCGATGTATCGAACTGCGTTTTGTGCCCTTCTACTGTGTTCAGGTCAAACAACGGCAACTACAACGAAAGTAATGCTAAGCCAATGTGGAATTCTGGTGTAGATTATATTCCTAGCCATTTCCGTTCATCAAGACACACAGAGAGATAAAGCATGATGTGTGTCAGCGTAAATCAAGCATACAAAAGGCTTTCCGAAATGTGTATCGTCAATCATGTCGTATATGAGAACGAAAAAATTCAGTAACTGACCTAATATTTGCCTCTTTCGTTATGACTATGCGGTGGATTAGCCTCATCCGTGTATGAAATGCTAAACGTGTGTTAGGTTCGCAAACCTTAGAACAATGCGACCTTGTTTCACATATCTAGATGCCTAAGTCTCTGTCGAAAGCTACTGTATAAGATGGATTGGCTTCGAACGCACGGTAATTTCACCGTGAGACCCTATAATTGTGCACTGTACACCTCAAAAAGTGCAAACGGTCCTAGTAAATAATTTTCTTTTTTTATTAAAAACAGTCGGAATTTAGCAGTCGTATTCATGTCAAAAATACGTAAATACGAAAACAATGTCAGGGTAGTGTTGCTTAAATTTTACCTCAGAATAAGTAAACACAGATCCTCCCACTATGTCATTCGTTTGACGCCAGCTCTTGTACAATTTTAAGTGACTTTTTTCAGACTTCGCCTAAGAAGATTGTTAGCAGGGACGTGTCCTAACAAAACAAAATCTGACTGCACATTATTCACACCAATCCATTGCAGAATTCCATAATAACCCCCTTTGGCTATGAAGTTTATCATACGACCGAAACTAGCCGACAAATACGCAACTAGAGAAAGTTTAAAATTCAAAAACCTTTCACATTATATATATGCTTGCCGCGTTTATGAGTAATTTCAGGCGGATCGTTACATCAATAAACGCAGTGAAGCTCACATAGCCTTAAGCTAGATCCTCGTCCCATTTATGATCATGTGAGTATTGTCACGTACCATCAATCAGCTTCTCTGCCTCGCCAATTTATATGTAATTGTATACAAGATGAGTGCACCGTCTACCGAACGATCTTTTCTATTTATCATTTTATTTGGAAGGTATACACATTCCCATTTATCGTGCGATGAGGCCATGCCACTATCACATCTGATCACTACAGCTCAATGAATTGATGACCGGTACGCTTTGAACAATCATTATCACGAAACCCTTCGATATTCGTCGTTTCCAGTCATGAAGAAGTATAAGCTTCGGCAAATAGTTCTTCCGGCCCTGTCTACGTCTGGTCAGGGGCAAAATCAGTGCTATTAATAAACATGTGGTTCTCAATAAAGGAAGGCTAAGGTGATAATACTATATGCTAGTTTTAGCTAACAGGCATCTGTCGAGTTATATGTCCTGGATAGCTAAGATAGAGTACTGACGGTCTGGATTGGTTGATCACTTTGTGGTAGTCAACCGAAAAGTAAAAAGGCCTAAACCTAAACGTTTACTATCACTCTACTGAACAAAATGCTCTCGTACTTTGTCTCTAAGCTGCCCTGTCATCGATAATTCCGATCGTAATGGGTAAAGCGTGATTCTAAATTACCGTACTACTGCAAAGACGTAATTCTCCATTTGGGACCTGCGAGTATACATTTGAGTTAGGGTGCCATTAACCGAGCTAGCAGGAAGCAACAGAGGTTTCTTTTCTAGTCCGAATTTCAGGCGTTTCTAACTCTGTGATTAGCACAGATCCCTTCCCGAGGGATGAAGGAGCACGACTTCCGTGCCATCTGACATAGCGTGCAACATAGTGGAGTAATTGGTCGTAGCATTTCTAGCGTTTCTTCATTTTAGGCGTCTGATTTGTATCCAGTTTAATATCAGGTTGATAGAAGACTTACACCAGTATAAGGCAGAAAAACGGATGTATATCCAAATGGATGCTCGATATATGAGCTATACAACTTACGGAAAATAATTAAAGATAATCGAATACTCTTATTTAATTTTAACATTTTGTACCGTTGTGCCACCATACAGCTAGCATGAAATGGTCATGCATGAGTGTAGAGGTGTTAAACGTGGAATTATAGTACGTTATGGTGACGCGAAATTATCATTATAGTTTCCGCCATCCTGTTCCGGATATTTCGAAATCTCTCTCTTAGAGTTTGTGTGCTTACCTGCATGATGGTCGCGGGAGGCACAGGCTGGCCCGCTTCCAGCTGAACGCGTTCTCGCAGGGCCACGGTAGCTGCATTGATCCAGAGTAGAGCAGCTTCCTCTGAGGTTACGGGCACCTCGTCTGGGTACTGCACTTCACTATATCGACGAACAACCTCGAAGACCTATCCAACGAAGAGAATCATGTTATCGAAGGGTAACACATAGCCTTTGCTACGCTTAGTGAATATAATTAATAATCAAATTATTCTAATTATTCATGTTTATAAGTTGTCCTACATCAGCTGCATTAATCTATAGTGTGTTATTGACTAGGATAAAAATATCAACTATCTGATTATTATACCGGTATGTTATTGGCACAAAGAATGTTCGTTCAGCGTGAAGAAGTAACAAGACCGTTTGAAGAAGCAATGTCTGAGCCTATCTCAGGGGCACGTTAAATTGTGCCCAATTAGCATGATCACGTTTTTAATGAGTATCATTCCGCATGTCTTACTTCTTTCAATATATACATAAGAAACGCTGGAAAACGCAGAGGACGTACGACCGCTACAAACCTTGAGTGGAATGAGCACCTCCTTGATGTAGAGGTCCATTATGGCTTCAATCACAGACATATGCGCAGCCTGAAACAAAGGTACAAAAACAAACAACACGATAGACGTACTTATTAATCGAAGTGGCAAACTTGCCGACCAACGTAAACTTCTATATAGAAGTGTCAGTTAAAAAAGGTTTTAACAACCGTTCAACGAATGAGAATCCTCATCAGTACTTAATCCTCTCTAGTGTAGAACTTGGCAAAGCAATCGAGAAATATGTAAATTATATGTTCACTTCAGCAGCTTCAGAAGTCTGACAAACCATGCAATAGATAATCAAAGTCTTTATCCCTTGAGTCTAAATTAGAAAATTTTTAAACTCATATAAGTCGGGAGTAGCTTGCGGATGCGTGTGAAACTGTTAGTATCAGACACCAAGGTTCCACGATTCTAGCTCCAAGGTTTCTGATAAACTGGCTACAGATTTATTTGACTTCAATGTCGATGGGATAGGTATTATGTCGTTCAATATCCTTCACAACGGAGATATGTTAAGGTGAACGAGAGACATCAGTTGAAATACACAGGAACCTAACTTATTTCTTGACAATCGCCTGCTGAAAGCTTGGCATCAAAGTTAATTAACTTCCGTAGTTCAGCGAGTTAGTTGTTTGGCGCAATTTTATACGTATTTTTTGTACCCGTGCCGTGTTTCTGAAAGTCATCACGATCTCTTTTCTCGTTAATACTTCGGTAAGCAATGTTACATATTTCTAGTCACTTTGGCGATCCTTTATAGTGAACTATTCATACTACCTAATGGACTACTGTGAATAACAATAAAGCATGCATGAAAATGACCTTTGATCTTAGCAAATGCCTTGTTTCATCCTGTCATGATCGCCATCACTATTGACAAGTTTTAAACACTGTCCCTGAAAGCTTCGAATTCACTTCCACGATTCCTTTTACCGAATGGCTGCGATAATTAGTTACTACACTAACAATTCTCAGAATGAAGATACATATTTATCTATTTTACATGATTTTCTATAGGTAGATATATTTTTATGTCGACGGCCGCCCGTGATACATGATAGCAGCAGTGGCAGCGGCAACGGCGGCACCCACTGAGCTTCTTGCGTCTATGCCGTGAGGCTTGTCTGCCATCGCGTCCATTTCGACGTGCAAGCCGTTGTTTAGTGTTTCCCAACATCAAAAATTTTCTAAATAACAACAGCAGCGGCTGCTGCTGCTGCTGCTGCAGTGCGAGTAGCAGATCCAAACACGAAGACACGATGCTGTAATTTCCTGGACAAGCTCTCAGCAAACAGCAAGTAGTCAATGCTGTTCAAATAGCAGCAGCAGCAGCAGCAGCAGCGTCGAACGACGACGCATGTTGCTACATCGTTCGATGTCCCCAATAGAATCAATAGCAGTCTTGGCATCCCACATCAGTCCTTCACGCAGAAGCGTTGTTCAATCCACATCCAGCGAATACCATATACAATATGAACATTGCGTGGGTGGTGTGCCTTGTGCATGGATGTTTGTTTGTACGTGTACATGCGTACACACGTATGTGCATGAGCTTCTACGTTGGAAAGTGAGGCGTACAACGGTGACGGCACTGGTGAAAATGGTTTAGATGCCGCCACTCTATTACCGTCATTAGCGTCACTAGTCTCAGCAGAGGTCGACTGACACAATCTGAGTGATTAAATTAAAGACACACACATTTACGCACCGATGACAAACGGATCGACAATCATATGCGTGGTCGTAGCTGTTTTACCTTGTCTGAAATTACCGCGTTTTATTCTAAAGGATCAGCAGAATCGACAAACGCTGCAACAGCACTACCGCCGCTACTGGTTATTAACGGGCAGTCTTCTCGCCGCTGCCGAGGTGGCTTCTTACAACAGTGAAGTTCTTGACGCCAGGCGTCAGACTACGTATGCTGACGGTGATGAAGAACGGCAAAACTAACATTAGGTTAGGACGAGCCAGTCAGCGATAGCTAATAGATAATTGTAGCATCGGCATGATAGCCTTGCTCTGTACAGTCGTCAAGCTAAACCAGCTGGCACTGATCGGCCTGTCTGTTCAGAACAGCCAAAATTTCTTCTGCTTTCAGCATACAGATCCTCCTATTCATTCGGCCTTACAAAGCATTAGCAGCACTGGCAAGTTCAGTCGGACGTCAAAACCATAGAGGAGAAAAGGTTTATCGCACTACTCTATAGTACGTAATACCGGTGGCTAGGGCGTCAACTGTAAATGAGAAGTTTCACAGTTCGTCACGATATGGCCACCGGAAACCCAGAAAGTGAGCCAACGTAAGGGTGCGTCTATCCTGCTGCTCGCAGCATGTGCAAGTACAACGTCCTATGCGAAATTTCGCATAGATCTGACGAAAATATTAGTACTGCGGGAACACAGAACACCGGTCAATCAAACCAATCGCCTTAGTGTGATCTATCTATATCATTGTGCCCTTAGCTTAGTATATGAACTTCTTCTATAGTGAACATAATACAAATTCTGCTTCCAGTTTATCATAAAAGTGTTATATTAAAAGGATTTAACCCGAACGATACAGAGTTATAGCAAGCACTCTGAACATGACGACTCAGTGGGAAAGTCGTTATTTTCCTCTGTGCCAGAGATTTCATAGTAGTAATAAGCCTTCTGAAATATGCACTATTAAGCATAGATACGATCCAATACTTAACACAAATCCTGACCATCGGTCTGAGGTCTGACCCCCCATAATGCAACTAGTCAGCATCGAGCGCAAACGGAATAGCGATGGTCTGCTACGTTACTTTCAAATGTTCTGCCAACAATATCTCTGCTTGGCGTAAATCCATGATTAACAATGTTAACGATCAGAACTACTATTAATAAATTATTTGCATCTAAATTTCAATCAATTATATGTAGACTTACATAGGTAAAGCTTCCTTACGCGTCACGTTTTGGTAAGAATCGTCGTAATTATGTTTATTTATTTATATATATATATATATATATATATATATATATATATTCTGCAGTGAATAAGAAAGGGAACGACCATGATGGTCTGCATTGATGGTGTGGGTATTTAAGCCTTTTGTCTAAGTTGCTTTTTTAAGTACCTGAAGAAGAATACCTGAAAACCGTACGAACCATTGGAAACCACCACAAGAAGCTAGATTTAGATTGCGCTTTACTTGAACTAGCTTTTCATTTCTATGACATGTAGTTTTGTATTCTTTATGTATTTCTTCTATTTTTTTGTTACATCTCTCGTTCTACATACGCACAGGAAACCCAGTCTCCTGGAAAATGCTTTGTACGGTAAATGGTCAAATATCGTCGGGCGTAATTTGTGATTCGTCCTAATTCGTAATTAGCTTGGTTTACCACTTTTATCTGTTTCATCGAAAAGACTAGCTATATCTTTTGGAGTATTCCGATTGTCCTAAGGAAGTTCTCATCTGAATAATAGGCCCTTACGCGTTAACCAACTCTGCGGTAAGATCAAAAAGAGCAGAAATAAACTTCGGAAACAAGGGAAACGTTTTTTTCGAAAAAAAAAAGTACGAAAGTCCCTTGTAATAGAAAATCTATAATATTATAGAGTCATTTTATAATAGAAAATCGCAAGCTAAACTCGTACAAACTTAATTTTTGGCTACGAACATCGCATGAATACCGCCATGAATAGGGAACAGCCTATTTTCAAAGGACACCAAAACGTTCAATGTCATAAGAAATCAATCTCTCGACAGAACACGGAAGTCGTACACGAAGTTCTTTAACGGTTTGATAGAACTCACCATTCGGATGGGTGCGTTCTGGGTAAGCGTGGTTTCATTGAGAGTTGTCGTTCCATCCGCCGGCGCGAGGACTTCAACACCTTTTTTTTGAAGTGCCGAAATGATGCCGACGTGACTGAGGGTGTGGTAATTAGGATCTGCGTAAATTGACGCCAGCGCCATGCAATACAGCTCACCCGACGAAAGACCCTGAACAATCTGTGGTTTCAGACGGTACTGGTCCTATAATTATTAATAAACATTAATTTTCGTAAATGAACCTATCCTTTAGGGAACAAACTCTGAAACAATGACTTTCAGCACAGACATAGCAACAAGTAATTTGGACGAAACAACTATCCTATAAATGATTATCATAGACAAGTGGAAATAAAGTACTATAATATTAAGTGATGGATGTCCTTTAACTATATTTTTTCCTTTTCATATTAAACGAAGCTTGTCAGACTTACCTCGTGGTCTCTGTAGTAAGGATCTCGGAGTTCGGTAGGGACCCGATTGTTGTGCGCTTTCGAGACCAGCCACAATACACTCGCGCGTTCCTTTGCCTGCAAAAAATTAATCAACCTATTGATTTAGGCTTTGCAAAAACACCCAACAGGTTATAAATTCATCATTAACTCTCAGTTTCGATGTTTAAAACAGACATACATTTTTCTATCACCCGATTTTCCTAAATGTCCTTTTAATACACAGATTTCATTATGTTACCCTACTGTGAGGGCTCTTTCAAATGCGCATATCGTGTAGCATTATGGGCCTGAAACACACCTTGGGATTGCAGAGGATAAAAGGCTTATCATGTTGTTTTCTATAACCAGGCAGTCAGGTAGGAAATGCTTTCTTCAGATAGAACTACTTCCCGAAGGTATTCTTCTATAGAACAGTGTTTACGCTTTCGCTTGTAGGACTAAACTGAGCCCTTTTCTTTCGGTATACAAGTATTAGGCTTAATTCCTGTCCAAGCATTCCTTTACTCCTTAGCTTTACTACTTGAATCCGAATTTGCTTTCAGATGGAACGTGGCCCTCATTGGTTCAGCCTTGACTCCACCAACGTCCCATTGAACTACATGAACAGCGTGTGCACTCCGAAGCACATTAGCTAGGGGGCAAACTGTCCGATTTTTTCGATCGCAGTGTTGGTTCTGACATATAACCCGTTTTTTCCTCCTGCATCCCTTTTCTCACCGCCAAGTCAATCAGCCAGCGTACTATTTATAGCCAGGACGACATACTACAGCTGTATAGGGCAAAAAACAAGCGAATATACGACTTCCAGCAGGCCTTCCACTGCTACCGGGCAACGCCTACTTTCCTCCAGGTCCCAAATCTGCACCCTTAACCTTCGCTAATATGTAATCTCTAAAGCTCAACTTACCTCTTGGATAGGCTTTGCCCTTCCCACAAGACGTCACATTATTTTATTTAAAATGAATTTGTGCAGGTAAAAACTCTGGTAGCACATAACAACGCCACAGAGCAGTATTGCGGTTTCTGAAAATTAAAATACCGTAACTACTATCTGTAAGTATTCCTATCTACGGCACAGCGAGTACAGAAGAACCCAGACAGATGGCAGAGTCGCAACAATAGACTAGTACGTTAATACTGAATGGGAAACGTGATTAATGCACAGCAGTGTTCTCTTCACTGATATGGTCAAATTATCGTTTGCAAGTTAGGGACGTATAGAGATTGGGAAAGCCTTAATTTCGATATTCCGCTCGCTCTTTCGAACAATCAGTGACTTACGCCCGCGTAGACTTCTCTCTTTCTCCCTCACATGAGATACTCACAATATTTATAACATACGCCATCACATATCCGTAGGAAATAGCCCGAATAAACCACTGAATCAGCGACGCCATAATGTGCATTATTAAAATCGCAATAGAAAATAAGTAACGTCAATAGAGGCGTCGCGTGAACTAGATTTTACTTAATTTCCCTGACGATCACAATATGACATTTCTTATTGCGTATATTTGAATCCTCTCTTTTAGAGAAGCACAAGTGAACATCGGGATCTCACTTTGAGGATCTTCGTTCGACACGTAAATGAGACATATAATTCTAACAAATCTCGCAAAAATGCTGACTTTATACGAACATGTTCAGTGATGGATTACTTTCACCTAATTATGAGACGGAATTTTAGATAAGTGAAGAATGTAGCTTGATTAAGCATTGTTTATACGACGTTGTTTTTAACGCCAACTTCATTCGTATCGCTATCGTTCAATTACAAACATTGACAAAATTAACAACAAATCAAGCAATAACTTGCCTACAAGTTTTTGTTTTCGGTCAATTAGTATTTCGATGCAAAACTTGACCGCTGCGGTAGCACAACAGATAGGGCACTTCCGTAAGAATTTGAATTTAGTCCGCACCTGACGGTCGGCGTATCGTTCAGCTGAACGTCACTACAATCGCTACATCCGTTGTATGTGTGAGGTAGTCCCCGACGGACCGTTGTTACTCGGCTCTAATAATAAAAAAAAAAACTAGGAACCATTCGCCCAAACATAACTTGCATAGTTAACAAAATGAATCGTTAGTGCTAAATAGAATTTATTATACAGCCAGCCATGTAAAATAAACAGCCCTATAATTCCAAGTATTTTCCGGCAAGATACCATTGAATATATGACGTATAATACGGCAGAATCAACAATGGAGCAGGAAGAACGGGCCGCACACAGATGCGAACTAACAAAGTCTTTTTGACTTACACATTGTGGAAACCATTATCGGTCAATATTTCTAAAAAAAAACATAAATAATCGGATTTAGCGCCTTTGTTTTCTTTGCTGAGCTAGAATTATTCGTGGTAATTCATGTCACATATAAAGCTGCACGTGTATTGTAACATTGTGACTATCGTGGATAGACCACTATCGTAACAGCTGATTTACTAGCCGCCGAAATCTAAGAATCACAGATATGACGTTTTATGACAAGACGCTATCTTTTTAGGAATGCACTACTTTATTTTTACAAAATGTTTGAGTAAGGTCTTTTCATATATAATACGTCCCCCATAGGTAAATCAGTAAGCTAGTCAGTCTAGCCAAGCGTAGACAATAGCCAGAGCATACATCATGGCTATTTTATAGTTTAGCCTCATGTTTACATAATGTGCGGCACATGATCAACCATGTAAAGCGATCTATCCCATGACGACTCTCGAACGCCAAGCGCATTCGTTCGAAAATGCAGAAGTCTAACAACAAACTGTAGCTATCTGACATAGTCTCGTCATCGTATAACCCCCGAAACACGGCTTGATCGTGTTAGTTTACCCCAACCAAGTTTGTTACGAGGTGAACCAGGTATAAGTCCGCATACATCACTGTTCCTTAGCTAATGATAACTCACTGCCTGGCACCTCACAGATTCTCAACGCATAATTTTACCCGCAAGTTCCCGATCTCTCGTAGGGAGGTGCCAACAGCATGATTCAGTGTCACAATCGTGGCCATGTCATGACAGCAAAACGCCTGAATCAGCCTGACCATTCGTAGCCATTTCACTGTGAACTTTGTTCAACGACAGCGGATAAGGGCTTTGCCGAATTCGAGCGAGTGTGTGGTACGTCGACAAAGGCGCAAAAGAAAACGCTTCGGGAAATCGGAATAAGGCCTCGACGACCTTTGCTATCCACAGAGTGCTGCTAATATGATATGCTCCTCAGAGTCGAAAAAAACAGCGCAATATGATCGAAACGCTTGCGTGTAGAAATAGTCGAGTTCGATAACTGCAAATGACAGCCACATATACACAGTATAGTGGAAGATTAGATTCAATCATTTGACGGGTTTTTACTTATTTGTTGACCGCTAATGATGGGCATAACAACTGTCTTGTCACTTCTGTTCCATACCTTAGCCATTAACGATTTCTAGGGCAGGCTAGAATCTGTCATCTCGATAAATAAAAGTCCACTTCTAGCTAGGCGCCCAAATCGAATAGTGCGCGAGGACTGAGAATAGGCCGGTTAATATAATGATCAACTGACCAACAAAGACATTACGGCATCGGCCACAGATGTACAATGTTATTGTTGATGTTCCTCTCGTTCTTATTGTTAACGAACCTGTATCAATCGGTATATCATAGAGCAGGTGTTTCAATTCTCCATCGAGCCAAATATGTATTAAAACATTACAAGGCCTCACTCACTAACACGACCCTAGGACGCGTTGTAGCAGTAACAAGAACGCGACGTAGGAACACTTGTGTACGATACAATAACATCATCAACCCATCGCTATGTAAAGGTCTAGGGTAAAAACAATGGACACTGGCTGAGTAGCACCAGATTTCGTACTCAACCAAACCGCAAAGCTAGCGGTCGATGCTTGGGAACAGCTGGACTGGTTTACTCTTCGTATGATGACCTGTTTGTTTGTATATAAATATTGGTTAATAGAAAATGAATGTCGCTGTTGTACTGATTGATCAGAAGGACTTGGCATGCTTTGCCAACTATCTCAGTCCGAATTACTGCTACCTCGGATCGTAATAAGTAACAATACCACTAGCAGTTCTGTATGACAGAACCCCGTGTCGATTCGGAATGAGGCCCAAATGTTAACTTCCCATAAAAGCTGCGCTAACCAACATTCACAGGTTGAAATTATAGTAGATGCAGAATATAATCAAGGTATAGTGTACGTACGCGCAGGCCAAGCATCTACGAACTCCGAGCTTTATTCTATACGAAGTAATGAAGAATAAAATTAGTTATTATATTTCAAATCGAATAGGCGCCAAGAGGGCACATGTAATAGCTATCCAAATATACTTCCCCATAGCGAATCTGTGCTAACCTTTTCTCTGGAGTTTTCCAGAGTCACACTCGTCGGGGTCGAACTATTTGACCAAGCGACAATTGAAACTCCGCACGTGAAAATCAATCATTCTCGATACCTTAAGGCGCTTCTTAGTCCTGGAAACATCACTTAGCTGCTGAAGCTTAGCATAGCTCAGCCCGTGATCGGCGGTGAACCAGATCGATCCGTATGTATAATTTGCTCTGTCTGAATAATATCTGTTCTATGAGGAGGAAGCGACATCATATTTAAATGATAATAACACAACTACAACCTACCTTCGGATTTGGTCTCATTTTCTTTTTTTTTGGCTTAAGTGGCATCTGCATGCCGTACTTCCGATCCGCTTCAAAAGCACCGGACAAAGCACCTCAATAACTGTTTCTCTGGACCCCTTAATGAAGCATTATTGTGCCACTTGACTCAATAGAAGCATATTCAAAACGCGTACGGGCTACAAGGAAGGTATAACATAAAATCTGTAATTGAGCGTACACTGAGAAACTTCAATAAAGTAGTTCCGTTTTTCCCCTGCCGATAGCTAAACGCGTGGAACACAAAATGCATATTATATTCTCTTCACTTGAAAGACATTTCTACGATCAGTCTGTTTTACATTGATCAGTATCAGCAAAAAGTTATTATTATTTGCGAAAGAACGGTGACTGATCATAGGCAGCGCTCTACGGATCCATGCTCAAATGGCCGCCTATGAACAATACAACTGATTTGTTGACAAGGGAGTTTCGAAGGAGGCAGATCAGTCTACAGAAGCGTCACCGACAACGCCAGTTTCTAATTAGACCTCTACGGCTTATGAAACGATTATAAAATACCCACACGATCAAAATGGCCGTTTAAATGTATCCAGTTCTAACAACATAACGTTTCACCTTTACTCATACGAGGTCGGCTAGAATACATTTTTGTTACTGTGTTAGAAGTGATCGGCTACATGTTGACATCGTTGTTAGAAAAAGATCGATTGTAATTGCGGCTTGGTCGCAATGAACGCATGTTTTGTTGTGTGACAGTTCTTATAGCCGTTAACGCTGATACGCGAAAATTCCGGAAACCAGCATTCACAAAAAGCAAACAGTATATAACAGAAGCCAAGTTGATTAAGTGTTGCATTATAGACAACGACCCTATAGGCGGCGATTTACATTCAGATCAATGTGACTCATCATTTTTCTAAAGGCTTCGGCATAATTCACTTCACCTAGTAACAAAGGAGACACAAAATCAGTTAAATCTGTGACAAAAATTGGCATGAACGGATTCGCAACGGAAGCTCGATGATCGTAAGTGGTGTCCGGCAATGATCCAGTCGCATCGGCTAGTTTACGGAAAAAGATTAGTAATTTGTTACGGATATGACAGAATAAAGTCTGCTATTCTCTAAGCAACAAGCCAGAAAATCAGAATGTTGAAGATACCTGTTCAAGTAGTTGAAATGTGATGAGCTGGGCTTTCTCCTTGAAGACTCGATAGCTTTCCTTGAGGTCGGACATGGAGCAGCCTCCGTTGACGAGAGGTGCTACCACCCCCACGGGTGACGTAATCCGTTTATTCAATAACATTGTGGCAGCCATTGTCGGTTATACCTCGCAAGGCGTGTTCACAGCCTTACCCAGCGAGCACAATAACCACTATATAGATAAACAGATACTCATACAGTGCATACTAGCTCATAAGATTATTCAGGTAAGTCTGCAGGTTTGTCACTTCACCTGATGGACAGACCCCTGATCATCCCAGTTCACAAGGTCTGAATGCAAACAAGCGCCTCTGAACGAATCCTCAGTCCGCACCAGAGAGCCATTGGGCGATGCCCATCCGGTGGCTCTCTCTGAGCTTAGGCAGCCTTTAGACGGAGTCAATCTGACACAAGTCGTATCTTTTGATATTTCTCACGAGCCGAAAGGCCAGCACTTTCATCCAGAGTTAGACGTGTTCCAGTAATGAGCAAGACGGTGCGCGTTAGATGGTTTTTTCGTAACTCCCTTTCACAACAGAAGACGTTGTTTGGACGAATATGCATAGATGATATCCTCAGATTAGCACTAATCACAAAGACTATGAAAGCCTCATGAGACAACATTTACTTACTAACAATAACATTAACTATTGTTGTGAGTATAGTTTCGGTGCGTCATTTCGTGACCGTTTCATCCACACTGAAATAGGTAGAGGATGAAATTGTTTGACAGGCTCTAATAAGTAAGTTCGACATTTGGCGCCTGTGACCGGCTTTGTGATTTCTTCGCCAATGCTGATCACTATGATGGCCTTTGCTCGTATTACTGGTTAGCCGGAAGAATACTGAACGCACTGATCACCCGCACATCGAGACACCCAATGCCTTTGAATCAATATAGATCCCGATGCTACCAACCTTTCGTCATTTTAGGTGGTATCAAATATCCTTAAACCCAATTCACTGTATATCAGGTCTATTGTTTGCAGGTATATCAGACAGGTCACTGGAGCTGCCGACATCCTACTTTCGGCATAGAGAAACTACAGTATAATCGTTCCTTTTAAATACTGATTCGAGAGTCACTAGACATTGTGCTAAAATAGACGTTGTACTTATTTCTTCTATGGTATGTACGTGTACATGCGTTGTTTAGCATCTCTTCATTTCCCTAATCGAACGTCCAGTATTAAGTTTTATTTAGTGATCCCGAAGAGCCACTGAGTCAATGAGGTCAACCAGTAAACAGCTGATATCCTCTTCAAAACTAACATGCGGCCATTGATCCCACATTTTCATAGATTTCGTAGGTATCACGGGGTGTCTTGACCACTTTCTACCTTCCGTTTTTTTTAACTGAACAGACAAATGTGGGCGACAATCGTTAGCTGGCGTTTCAGTTGCGCTGGTTTTTTTTTTTAGCACACTATTCTGTGTAATGACAAGCTTAAAATAGCCAGTTTCGTTAAGGCATCAAACAAAGTCGACTAAGCACACCAACAACTCTTCGTTCTATCAGTAAACAAGAGGTGGCCATATTTGAGGTATACGGCGGACAATGCCAATCGGACAACATAAAGAGAATTGCACGCTTCAGCTAGTAGAGGCGCGAGTGAGACACGTCAGCAGCATGAAGTCACTCAAACCGAGATCAAATCCCAAACCTATAACCATAACGTGTAAAATACCGCAACTTAATACGAATATCAACGTTTTTGTGCTCGATAGTTGGATTTTACCAAGGCAGCAGGTAAAACAAGCTCTTGTTTGCTTATTGATATATATAGTGACAAGAAGCGAAGTCATTAGCATTATTCATATAGTTGGAGGCCGACATAGCCCGGTTTCACTTATGACGTGGCAGCCGGTGCCTTGCTCCAGAGAGGAAGACAACCAGGCACGTAAAGAGCTACAATTCCTCTAAGCCGCCTAAAAAGCATGATCGACTATCATAGCGTGTCGAACCAAAAAGCTAGATATATAGTGCTATATCGTCATTTGTACCGGTTATGCAGTTGAGGTGTATCTTAGAGAAGCGATACTGACTCTGCAGATTAAACGTTTGAAGTGCTTCCGAAGATATATAGAATCTCTCGTCAGAAACGTTCATCATTATTTATAGCTTGTCAAATCACTTCGAACTGTCAAAAACAAAAGCTCAGGTCAACACATTTTAACTGATAGTCGAACATCGTTACACAGAAAATGTACATATGCTTTTACCTAAATCTAATGATTCAATTGTTTATACTAGGATCCTGGCCACGTAGCCGAAGACTGTCGCTGTCGTCCATTCTGCAAACTATGATCCTAAGAAAAATTAGTATTTCATAGAATATTAATACGTGAACTTAAGATAAGCGCTGGCATTTTTTAATTTGCTTTTTTCTTCGACGATTTACAACTTTCTAAATCAATAAAATCTCTCAATCAATAAAAAAGACAGGATACTATTAGTTAATGTCTATGCAATGCATAATGTGCTTGACAAGTGCAATGAACTCGACCAACAGCGGCCAGCTAACGGGTCATCACTGTCAGCTAAGAATAAGCTAACGCAGTCTAGCCCAATGTAGTGAAAATACGGTCTTCTTTTCAGTTTTTGGCAGACCCTCTCATTCTATCCATGTAAATGTTTCACAGAGCAGTCGTCCTCGTAATGGCGCAGCGGGCAACATGTTTGCCCGCTAAACTTGGGGTAAGATTCGAATCCAGACGTAGAGACGGTTCGTTTCGTGCTGAAAGGAACCGGCGGCCTACAGTAATACGTAACGGCTCAAATACTGGATGCAGTTGATAATAGATCAATGGCATGTCGGGCCTGGGTGGCCAGAAAATAAAGAATACAAAACGAACGTATTGTCAACTGGTCTCGAAGAAGTATTAAGCGAGCCAATTGCGTTGCAAATTTGTCTCATTCTACCACATAAACACATGTACAAAAAGAGTCAATCCTGTGCTCATATGTTAATATCACAAGGACAATTCTCGTTCCATTCAATTTCGTACCAAGACAGTCACACGCAACTAGCGGGCGTTGCACAAGTACAAAGTATCGTGTGGACATGTGGCTTCATATTTTGCTATGTCAGGTTTTGACAAACGAGTCAGTAGCATATAGTATGTAAAGGTTGTTGAATACGGTTCTACCGAATTAGGTAAATGGTTCGTCCTTTGATCGTCCAAACATGTGCTTATTTGGTGTGCTTTAGATCATTGTGGGTGTCGGTTGGATAATGGCCATTGCCCTTGAAAAGTAGAGCTATCGGTTACGCAGTTGGAACTATCAGCTTAGTCCTTCGTCCTGCGCATTTCCGTGTGCTTTTCTTTCAACGGGTGCTGTCATCCCTACGAAAGCCCATCGAATTCGCCGTAGAATAATCAACAGCCTCCTAGTCGCATGTACATGCTAAACGTACTCGTAGTACATGAACATACGACCGAACTACAGATCTCTGACAAGTATGGAAGCGAGCGATCGGCTTTAGATAGCAGTCACAGAGAGATGACAATGGGGGCAAGTTCAACCTCTGTGGCTCTAAGGGAGCCCTGAATATAACATGAGCACGACGCGTATACGCACTGAAGTAATTATCTTGGGGCTACTCAATATCATGCAACTGTATATGAAGATATGAATATTCTCAGTTAGGTAATGACTTGTAGTAAGACTCAATCTATAGATTTAATGAATTAAGTGTTAATATGGAGTATCAATCGACATATGCGGCCACTCCATCGCATCAGATGTGTAGCATCCATCGCGCGCGGACTCGTAAAATTTCGTTAACGAAAAGCGTCAAAAAGGCACGTATTGTCCAAGACGCTTCGTCGCATTCGAAAGTTTATTGCACAAGATTACCATGAAACGTACGAGTATTTTACACAGGCACTTGTGCTTTTTAGAGTCTTAAAGATAAGCTATGTATACATTTATTATTTAAAAATTCTATCTAAACATCTTGTTCTCTGCTGTGTGGAGTAATGACTTTGGCAACGGAGTTTGTTAGCCCGCCACAATAACAGTTGCAGTCGTCACTCATAAATATTTACCAAACGATACATATATATAGAAACGTTGTGTCACGTTTAAACGACCCATGGCCCATGGCTAATATAATTACTGTCGAAGCAGCGGTGATCGTCGACAACTGGCTACTGATGTCTTGTGCCGCGACCGTTCTTATAGTGAAACAAACCTCATTAGTTTATAAATCTATACTATAAGTTTACATACGAATAGATAGTCTTGTTCTTTAAAGAAAAGATTGACTAGAAGAGCTTAGAAGGCTGTTTAATACTTAAATGTGTTATATTGCATAAGGTAATGAAAAGTTGCCGAACGCCTTCATTGGGTTGGAATCGCAAACTAACGCTACCGATTTTGATGAGTGCGCGGGTACCTTCATCTTGTCTTCGTTGTTGGTTCATCGCATTATAGTACAGTGCATCAAGAACTGCCGGCTCGCACTCATATGGGCTCAAATCCGATAAATTTAGGTGAATCACTTGATTTAAGCGGCATTCATCTTTGGGAAAGACGCGATATTTCGAAAGAGGCGTAGAGGTAGGCTTTGTATCTTTTGTAAGTTATTTACGAATCCGGATTTACTGTTGCGGGAGTAATGTTGAATACATGGGCAGCATGCATCTGAAATACAACTAATTGCGGGTACACAAGATCTTTCACACCTTAACAGAGACCCACCATAGGAAGAGGGCAAAGTAATACTGGGTCCGTTTCACTGGGGTAGAACTGTTTCCTGATAACAACTCTATGCTATTTACTGTCGCCAATTAGTATAGGAAGAATTTATACTATACATCCTATCGTTGAAGTCCATTAGGAAGTGTTTGTACAGTATACCTGGGATGGCTTTACCCGTTTTGATAGTCACACGTTTGGACTAGCAAGATAACGCACACCCACGTGCCAATGCCGCGGAACGAACTGCGCAGAATCTGTGGCCACACCGGCCATAGGCAGTCTATCTGATCGTGTTCAAAAAGTTCATCATCATATAGAAGGCTTCCCTTTGGTCAGATACACGGCAGGCGCCCGTCTGTCCTCGGCCGGAACTCATCTTTGGGTAAAAGAGGCGAGAAGATAATGCTTGACGTAGTTTCACTTTAGCTGTTGCACACTGTTGGCGGCATGATCCATAAGGCCTCGGTTTTGCTTAAGCAGAAGCATAAAATCATAGTAAGCATCAGTCCAGCAAACTCGCGTCAGAGGCATGCAGCTGGCATCGCAACAAGAAGATGGAAACTTTACATGACCGCCTAAATTATGACTACACAGCCCTGGTTGTACCTCTATTTTTTTTTTTGTGAAACCTTAATGACAGGCGCGTTCCGAACGAAGCGTACGAAACATGTTCTGCCATAACACAACTCAGACGAGCAGAAAGGAGGATGCATATTCTCAGCTTGGGTCGCTTTCTTAAACAAGTGTCTTAATTAGAATGTAGTTTACCGGCAAATGCAACGCGAAGTCAATCGGCAGCCAGCCATAAAAGCACCAATGTAATTTAATTACAAGTAAATAAAGTAACGAGACAATATTGATATTTTCAACACAGATTCAACAGAGACGATTACAAGCAGCCTTTTTAAGTGCCACCTTTCTGCTATCTGTTTTATTCTAGGCTAAACAGCCGAATACACCATGGAGCCATGATGTGCAGGTCGCATTGAAAACTGCTACTTACACCAAATTTTTGAACGCCCATCGACCTTCAGTCTGAACTAAGCAACGGATATACATCGTACAGATATGCATATCACGTGCATGGCCCTGAACGCTAGCTTACGCCTTGTGCCATTCTTTCTTGCTACCTAAAACGACGTCGGAAAATAGTAGGTATTACACTTCCTTACGCTCACCCTTAACCCTGGTGTTCCTTACCCAGACCTATTGTATAAGCTAGTAGTATTTTTCGATGTATTCAGCTATGACAAAATTTAATCCCGATAAGCAAAACGTATGTAAGTGCCAACGTTAAGGTCCACGACGGGGCATGACTCTCTGTCGGGATTCCAAAAAGAAAGTAAAAAGGACTAGCACAAATTACCTTTGCCATCAGAAACTGATGAGATTTAGAAATTAAATCTAGGTAGACAAATTAACGGCACCCTTAAAAAACGTATAGCCACAAAATTAGTATATGCAGACGCAATATAGTCAAACAAACAAGTGTAAGGGAATACTTATGGTTGCCTGAGGCAATGCCAGCTGCGATAACAATACTCAGCACGGAGTAATGCCAGCTCATGTAAGTATACACAAACGTACACAGTGGTGTTTATATGCGTACACACACGCACACGCCCGTAAACAAACTGACATCTGTAAAAATGTCTATGTAGTATCTATGTCTGTTGCGTCATCCATATTAACATTATCCACGATATGTATCCCAAAGCCGATATTTTTTGCTTGATAGCGGTACAGACTCCCGACGCCACTACTGCTTCTTCCTGATTCTTGCCATTGTCGTAGACGTTGCTGTTGACCCGTTCAGTATACGAACATATTTCTATGTTTCATTCTACGAGCATAATAATTATGTTGATGATATCACAGGTTCCTGTATTGCGGCGGCTTCAGGCCAAAAAAACACCGAAACACGTATCTAGGAAGCGAATCTGACCACCTTATGTTTAATATAAATGTGTCTGTTTTGACGCACTACTTTAGCAGACGACGTTCAAGTCGATAAACTATTATGTTCTACATCTTCAGCGTTCTTGTATGAGTAAGCTCCCCAACTGCAAACTATGTACCGGTGATCCTTGATAATTCATGATAAACTAGGCATCGGTGTGACCAAATCGAACTATCCATTAAGATAAAGATCTTGTTAATCTCATAATAGCACTATTGATGATTGCAGGTGGACACGCAATGATAGTTCGTTTCTGTTGGTTTCAGGGTAATATGTTTAGTAAACGTCTGGGCAACTCAGCGTATACGACGACGCCAAAAACAGCCGACAAACGAAGAACCACACCGACACCACTGTTGCCTTCGAAGGTAGCAGCAACTGACACAGACTGCCCTAACTCTCACAACAGTGTTGCTCAAAAATACTCGTGAAAAAAATCTGAGTCATACCTTTTCTTCTTTACAGTAAATCACTGGCCGTTGGGTCTACCAAGACACTAACTGAACAGAAGAAGCTCAAACTGCTACGTGATCGCCACGCAAAGCAAATGTTGATAACAGGAACGAGCTGATTTTCCTAGTAAGAATCAAACTTGTTTTCTATGGCAATGTAATAAAACTTTGCGTACAACCACAACAACAGTCGCTTGAGAGGCGAAAAAAAGAAAGCAATATAATCATAAGCTTATTGCTACCCAATCCACTTTTGATGGAATTTTTTTACTGTTAAACCCGCATGATCTCACCTGGGCCCTATTGCAAGAGGTACACGACACAGGCGTTCACAAGAAGAATCACGTATACTTGTCAGGTAGAATTAATGTCAAACTTTAAAAATTCTTTTACTTTTAATTCGTGAATATCAACAGAAAGTAACAACAACAACAACAACAATCAACTTTAAAAAAGTTCAATCAGTTTCATTCGTCGAAGAAAAACACTCAAGCACAATTCCTATAATGAATAATAGCAACGCTCTAGCGCGCGTGGTTACTAGTACATAAGTCAGTCCTATGATGGTACAGCGCTTGCGACGTTCATGGCGTAAGAGGCCTGTCGCTCACTACACAAGCGACGACAAATGGCCAGAGAAAAGAAGTAATAACATATCCACCTTTTGTAGAACCAGCGGAACGAACAAGATGGAGTGTCTTCGTCGGGTTCGTATAATAATCCTAACAGCGGCTAGCAAGCCACAGCGACTTTTCTTTAGTTCGCTAGTTTAACACGGACAAACAGCACCAATCCACTAGCTTGGGCCCTCCACGCCGCCACGGCATAGCGTTTTGGTCGTTCTGATCGTTGAACCACTACCGCCCTCTCCCTACGTAGGCTGAAGCCTTGGCTCGATTGACGCCCAGACAAGCCCTGCAGATGCAGCTACTGCCGCAAACTATAGAAGCTCGCTTGTCCTGCGAACGCGCGGAAGCCGGTGCCAACAATGGCAGCAACAGCCAACGCAATACGACAAAATACAGATACAGCCACACATACATACATACATACATACACAGATATCTACATACCCCATACATATATTTAATACACTTACGTGCATTCTTGCAGAGACGTACGCGCGCGCAAATTGACATACTGACTAACAAACAGAGACAAATTAAGTTGCAGGCTTTAATATTAGCATCTGACTATTGGATTCGCCATTGTTGTTGTTATCGTCAAGGCGGAGAACAAGAAGCGACAAATCATCAAATCTGTAGGCCACGTCGTTCAACTACTGCCACTCGACTAACAAATCCCTTATACTCATCAGATGCTGGACCAGATTGAGGTGTTGTATTAGAGTACGACTTCAGATCACCACAGGTCAATATCATATATCGAATTGAAAACAAAGATTGATAATACAGCTTAAGCTGGTCAAAAGATAGTGGCAAGTGTCACCCCAAAACCAGTGTATTATTTGCTAATTGCCACTGACTCATATTGTAATGAGTGCTAAAAGTTTATGGATGAGGCGGCTTTTTGTTTGTTACATTTGTTGCGACCTCAAGAACAACGACGTTAACGGAGAACTTGTTCTTAAATTATTGCTTCAACGACTGCGCGATGGGAACGGCTGTCGGAGCTCGCCACGAGGCCGTGTTCGATCGCTGCATATCCATCTTATGTATTTGTTCATACCCAATTGTTAATAATTCGTGCAATCTATCATAGCTACGTAGATGAATTTCGTTGCACACTTTTTCAAAATCAGCAATTTTTGTCGTCCATAGGTTCGACAGGTCGAATATTTTGTGCTCACACAGAACGTGTGCTCGGGCTTCATGTCAGGTTGGGTAAACCTG